GTCAAAGTAAGAAAAACAGATACTGTTAGCTGAAAAGTTAGTACAAAAATCAATACATTCTTATTTACTGAAATATATCAGGATAGTAGATTGACTATTTCATATTACATATACAATACTTTGATTCTGAGCAACAAACAACAGTTTTCCATGCTATAAGCATTATTACACTTAATGAACAAATACAACACACATGCTTTCAGTTGCACATGCCATAATTCAAGCTTTACAGGATTAAAGGGCATTTAGAGAGATTTAGCAAGAAATCTGCAGGAAGATTAACCACAGAAGATGAAATCCATTCAGTTCAAGGAACACTTCCTGTTATATTAACACCTGTATTTACACTTATGGATCAGAAACACTCTCCATAGATCAGAAACACTCAAGAACAGCACTTGCTAAAGCATTCAGATTGTCTTACAGAAAGGTGAAGAGCAGAAAAGATGCTCCATATGGGTGTCTATGAAACACTTGTCATACTGACGGATTCAGAATAACTGGCCCAGAAAATGATAGCTAAAGTTAAATACTCTCTTTCTTTTAGTCCCACAGGGAAACAAAAATAGTGCCCTCACAAATTCTCTCTATTGTAAGACAGCTTGTTGGTATTTTATGGGCTTACTGGATTTAGAGGAGATGCAGTGGAATCTTAAATAACCCATAACACAGTGTTCTGCATCCCTTCTGATCCTAGCCACAAAAAAAACCAAAACAAAACAAAACAAAACACAGACTTTCAAGAAAGCAAAAAATTGTGCAAGTGGAAAAAAGAAGAATCAAACATTCAAGGAAGAATGTCAGAAACACAGGAAGTTACATAAGAATCATTTTGCCATGATCTCGACAATGTATTTCAAAGATGGTATTTAGCCAAGTATTTGCAACAAAACCAGCCTACACATTCTAGTCAATGAGAAAAGCCCATGAGAGCCTGCATTTCTAGTAGACATCTTCCCTCTCAAAGCAGGTCATGCATTCAATCCTACAGTTGCAGCTATCATTCAGAAGATGACAGCTGAAGCCAGCAATCGTTTTCTTTCTTAGTATGTTTTGCATTGACTATGCCAAGCACTCTGCTGCACGCTAAGTCTCGCAAGGCCTTTTTTCAGAGACAAAGCACATCTCAATGTGTGAGAAACCCCCAGATGAGGTTACTTTCTCAGGGCATGTCAGCCTGGAGCCCATTTCCCTCTGGTCAGTGTCTCTGGCTCTGCATGTACCCAAACACTACATCAATTTAGTTGGTAACAGGCCAGGACAAGGGCAAGAGCTTCTCTTGGGTACACTTTTCTATGTCAGCCTTCATTTTGCCATGATGCTGTATCAGCAAGATGCTTTGACATGCCAGGATTCTAACACAACCAAACCAGAAAGACATACTGAAAGCCTCATTCCCTTTCTGACAGTCATCTCACCACACTGATACCCACAAGCAATTTTGGTTTAGAGGTAAATGCCCTTAATAAGTACAAGGAAACTGGAAGAGAGAGATACAAGCTACAGGTCCATCAGTTGTCACAAAGAAAGTCCTACCATGGGGCCAGTGAGTCCTTCACTGAGTCACTAACAGCATACTTGCTTAAAAGCACTAAATCTACAATGTTGCTGGTGAAAAAAAAATCAAGCATGCTAGCTTTCTCTCAGAGCTAATATCTGAAGTTTCTTCTTAGAATTCTACTCACAAAAGCATTCCTGAAATGGTGACATTTGCCTTTACACCCGATCAAATGCATCAATGCCATCAGCCCACTAAAGCAGTTCCCAATCTGAATGCAGTAGGGCAACATGCGCTGTGTCAAACAGGCTGATCACCACCAGTCACCACGAGCACATTGGCAGCAGGATGACCAACACACTGCGACAGTGTGGTTTGAACAACAGCCAAGTTTTGAGCCCAAACTTGGGCCATTCTTAGCCATTTGAGCTATATCTACCCATAAACCTGCATCGCATTCTCAAAACTTGAAAGCTCTTTCAAATAAGTTCCAACACATTAAAGTTAAAACATAAGTAAAAGGTAGTTCCTTTGCAGGGAAAAAAAAAAAAATGTTTTCTAATCATCTGTCCATTTTGGAGGCGTGAGGTTTTCTTTTTTATTTTCAGCTACTTCCTTTTTAAAGTATACAGAACTCAAAATAAACCCTCCAGCTAAGAGTCAGTACATCCAGAGAACAGCGCCGTTATTGTGCAACACAATAACAGTAATTATCTTGTTTAGACTAACTGAGATAAGTTAGTTCATAAAATATACACTTCAGCATACCCTCAACTTGAAGGAGAAATGTCCAATTTGAATTTCAGCACGACTGATTTCAATTACATCACACAGACTGCAGTGTCCTTTGAAAGACCATCCACAGCAAACACAAATTTGATTGCATTGCTTCAGTTAACAACTTGTGCTGTGTAGAAAGTTTCTGGACCAGGAATCATATGGCCAGAGTCACCATAACAAACAGCAATGCTATGGACTGCTTCCCTCCTAGAAATGTATTTCATTAACACCTTTTGTTGTTAATGTTCACTAGCATTTTTCTTCTAGCCTTGCAGACTGGAACATGTCTGCTGTTGCTCACTATTCAGACTTGCAATCAAACTTTCATGAGCATTTCTATTGCCTACTCAAGCAGATTCTTCATTATTTCCCACCACCTGTCCTAAACATTAGCAAAACTGTTTGCACAGCTGCCCAGCAAACTGGAAGAGGGAACTGGCCAAAAATAATAAAGATATTATTTTTAACCCTTGTTCCTTCCAGTTCTCCTGGTGTTATCAACAGGCTGTAGCAAAACAGGGAAGATTTAGGCAGCCTAAGCCACTGAATTTGTCACACCCAGAATTCCTGAAACTACATCACAATGGTACAGTCTAAAGAGACAATACACAAAAACAAAGGATCAACACACAGTACTTCAGGGTCAACAGACCATTAACATCAGAACAAATGCATACTGCAACTTGAGGAACAGAAAATGTCTGGAAACCAGCAATGTCAGTAGGACTGGAGTAACAGAGACTCTGAAGCAAGTACTTATACTCTATGGGTAAATCATATCATGTATATCTCACGAAAGGCTATTAAATGAAAAAGAACAGTAATAAAAGGTTTTCTATGGCCACCAAAAAGAGAGCAAATGCTGACTGACTGACTCAGGCTGACACAAGATAAATGTCATCTGTGTTCCATCCTTGAAAACCACCATCCCTTAACCATCCTTGGGAACAACACCCACAGTTGCGGGGATGGGGGGGGGGGGGGGAAAAAGACAAACACTGTAATGACTCTTGAACTTACCTGCTGTAGAAGGCGGAGTGGGGGACGATGGAGATGTTAATGGGGAACTTGCCCCTGAGCCTGCTAAATAAAACAACAGTCTAGTAACTAAAGCTGTGACATTAAAATTCAATACAGTCAGACAAGACAGATCGTTGGAAACAGGCCAACTTTATTGACTGAAGATCCAATCCCGCTTCCACTGAAATCTTGGGCAAGATTTCCATTCATACCAGCAGTGTCACTCCAACCCAATCTGAACAGAGAGACTTAACAGTACACATTATCAGAGGAGGTCCAAACACGTAAGAAGCACACTCAACATTACTCCTCAATGGGAAACACTTCTTTTCTGTTGCTTAGGCTGTTGGATTTCAGCGTCCAAATTCTGTTCTCCTTAAGAGCTGTGCCACTCCATGGATGGCACCCCATTTCTCCTTCTAAGAGATGATTTTCAGTCAGTTGCTGTACTCCACAAATCACTCTGATATCTGACTATTCCATAATAAGCTGCTTTTGGACACATTTTAGCCAGGCAAGTCAACTCTCTTCAACTGTTTGGTAGTACCAATCATTCCTTTTAACTAAATCAAGACCTGTCAAAGGCTCTGTTGTTTTAGAATTTGGCACTGAAGCAGCAATTAAACAGATAATTTTCTCATCCATCTTAACTCCTTACTATGGAATAAAGATTACCACAGAGTTCCTCCATGAAGGCTGCATTATTAAATGGCCCAAATAATGGATGTTATTATTATTCCACTCAAATGTAAAACAGAAAGAAGAGACTGATTTTTTTTTGGAGGAATGGGGCACAGAAGAGAGGACACATTGCCTTATATTAGGCAGCTGAAGATCTAACACTGACAATATTTTTCAGCCCTTGATTTGTCTATTATTAACTATGTAAAACAGTGGTATCAGGCTCTGGTGGTCCAGTATTAATGTGTAAACTGATGATTATCCTGGATCTTTTAAGACAGAAAATGACAGCAACAACAAAAACATTGACACAGCTGTGCAGAATCAAGCTCTTCTCTCTGTAGTTACCTGAGTTATTTGAGTTGCTGTATTTTGCTGAGTGTTCTTCCCCACTTTCATAGGCAGAGCGTTTTGACTTCTTTAAAAAAGAGCAGAGGAAACAGAAGATAGGAATAAATAATCGCTTTCCATGATAAGGATTGAACAGACACACAGATTTGTAACATCCATCCACTGTACCACAGAAGGTTTATCAACACCCAACATCCCTCTCCCCACACCCAACGTATGCTGCCTTGATGACAACAGCAAGGCTGTTATGTGCTCAAACATCTCCAAGCAAGCAAGCAGGGCAACTCCAGTGTCCTCTCACACCACCAGGGAAAGGCAGAAAACTGACCCACAAAAAGGAAGAGAAACACAAACAGGGTGCTGCAGGAGCAGACTAAAAAAGGCTCCAATACCCTCACTAAGCAGCAGGAAGCAGCAAAAGCTGTCATCTGTGTCTGTGGTGTTAACTAACCCTGTTTTCATACAGCAGCCTCAACCAGGTTAAACCACTATGCAAGTCAGCTACCACTGTAACGTAAAACTTCTTAGGAAGTGTATTGCTTAGCTACAGAAGTGAAAACAACCAGGAAGTATTACAGAAAAACATGGGACAGAATAGACCAGTGTACCTGTGGCTGTGCAGGCTAAACATTCAAAAAAGATACTTCTATTTTTCTGTGTGAGAAACCTATTTAAAGATTGCTTACTTTTCGTGCTAAGATCTTCCTTTTCTTTTTTTCTTCTTCAGAGCCATGATGAGATTGAGCTCTTGTCAGCCTTCGGTGCTGGTGAATCTTCAAAATGAAGGGAAAAACAGAAGAAGACCATGTTAAGATCTTAAATGTTCTCTGACCAGACATACATTTGGGGTGCAAGAAAACACACTGTAGTCACTTCACATGTTTAGTTTTCTTTTTTCTTTATTAGATTTTATCTTTACTGTTGCTAGTAGAAGATGGAGCCTCATACTGCAGTTAAAATGATCCTTTAACTTAGGAGCCACTGCCTGTGAAGCTGCACCACTTAAAATGGTGCACCAATGCCATAAAGTCAACAGCTGCTCTACAACTCCTTATACTGCATTTTCAGGAAAGCAAATCTGTTGATGAAAGTCTTTATTACTTGAAATCACTTTGAGAGAGTAAAAACTCACTTTCCCCATGTAAAAGTGGTAAGAGGAAAAGGAATGTCTGTAGGAAATACAGTAAAGAAACGCAGACATTACCAGTTTCTGTTCTTCTGTTAATCGTTTCTCTATGCATTCCTTGGAAGTTTTCAATGCCTCTTTTAGCTTAGTAGGAATCTAATACAGAATGGGGAAAAAACCATAGCACAAAACATGATAAAGGAAAACAACTTCACTGCTCAAAACTCACCATTCATCTGATCACGTTGCACATCTAAAGCCCCAAGTTCTGACACTATTCCCTTAGTGAAGGAGAAAAGAAGACTCTAGATGCACGTTTTCCACTACAAACCTAGCTACAGATCTAACAGCAGGGACAAAGAAATACTGAATAATGGAAGGGACACTGTAATGGCAGCAACAGCTAACTTTTGATACTCCAGTCACATCACCAAACTGCCATGAGGCTGACAACACAACACACAGCACATGCCCTCCAGGAAAAGCGCTCTGGGGCAGCTCCCAAGTGGGAGCAGATGTGGCTCCCCAAAGTCCCAGCACCACAGCACTGGAGCTAGCAACAATGTGATGATGGTGGCACCCTGCAAAATCAGTTTCCACAGGTCTTAGCAATTTGTTTCCTCTCACTGCAAGGGACCCACATTACTTAGCAGCCTCTGCTCAGACAGAGCATCATCACCAGCCATCCAAATTAGCTCTAGCGCAGGAATAACACTTGAACACTCATGGGTCACACTGTGCCCCTCTTCTAAGGGGAGATATAACATTCTCAGGTACAATCCACCAAAGGAATCCAAATACTGATGGCAATTACCATGATGCCAAATAAAGCCAGCTCTCCTCTACTCTATTTGTCAATTAATGCATAGCTTACCCACAGCCTGGCACTTCCACAAACATCAGCAAAACAATGTTCAACTTTACCTTAAACTGTGGTTTCTCGGAGTTTGTTAGCAGGACATCACTAAATAATCTATGAGTGGATAAAAAAAGAAAAAAAAAAAAAAAAAAAAAAAAGAGGAATATTATTCCCAAGAGATATGCAGAATCACAGCCAGACTACTACTGGTACTGTTTGCCTAACACCCTTTTTCTCCTTTTCCTTCTCTGTACTCATCCCTAGGCCACTGTTTGTTTTGTTTGGTTTTTTTCCCCCACAGGTTTTTATGTACTACTTTTTATTTTCCAAGCACTGCCACAAAACTAGCAGCATCCAACTCTCAGAATGTAGTCACTACTGATGGCAGAGTTAGTCATCAGTAAGACTGTGTGATGTATTTTGAAAGCTGAGGAACAGGTGCAATTATCAAAGACATAGAAGGGCTTCCCCAAAACAAGAATGCCTTTTCCTTAAAAGTATATGGATTCTTTGATGACAAAGGATTACCAGGGACTTCTAAATTTCACCTAACAAAATCAATGATCTTTTTAAGAAGACTCTCTCAGCATAAATGATTGTTTTAGCATCAACAAGAACCATGTGAAAGATCAATGAGTGAACTTAATATTTGAAAATATCTGCATTCTTGGCTGTACTCTGGCAAAGGCAACTAAAGCTAATATTCTAGTATTTTTGCTCTCCTCTCTATGGTACCAGCAGCAATGGCATAAATGATTAATCCTTTTCCATCTAAAACAAAGACACTAGAGGGCAATGGTAGTCTGAAAATAAATTGGTTAGTCCATTTCAAGATACTTTGTTCTGGAGAACATACTAGAAAACTGTCCCAGAAAGAGATCTCAAGCCTGGCTCTGAGATAAATATTTCAGAGATTTTTTTGTTGCTGTTTCCTATGGCAAATCATCACAGGCCTATACTAGAGGAAACAAATTCAAGTCTAGAATCAAGCTTATAAGAATAGGATTCCATGAAAAATTCAGATATAAATAAAATTTTAGAAGACTTTTAAAAAGCCACAAATGTTCACTCTTGTTTACAGGGCATTTTTCTGATCCTTTCTGATTACATGTCCTTGCAAAATTAGGCAAACTCATAGTTTATACTGTTATAATAAATAATAAAGCTTAATAAATATTTAAATTACATTAATTGCATTGCACACCTACACAGAACAGTTGCGAAGAGTATTGCTATGAAGGGAATGTAGCACGATATCCTACATATCAGGTACAGCTGGGCATGGATTGTTTGTTCAACATCTTTTAACACCTGTATATTCCTGTATTCACAGAGTTTTCTTATAGTATTTCTCCTCTGCTTACTTCCTCCTACGTAAATTCTACCTCCTTTAAGAGCAGAGGAAGGGAGAAGTAGAAGGAATTTAGGGCTGAAACAAGCCTGTAGTGTTTCTTCCAAATCAGGAAATCTGAATCTTGGAGCATGCTCTAAATGTACTGCAACCTGTGTGCTGTGAGATCAGAACCAGATTTAGGTAGGGGCGATCTGTCACTTGTAAGGTTGTGACTCTGGCACATCGTATTAAGAAAATATAAAAGAACTCCTCACCAGGAACTGTGGTTCTACACTCAGCATGCTGGTGACATGTGGCAGCACAGTGAGAGCAGATAATTTCCCTGGTAATACTGTCTCCTAATTGCAGGAAGGGCAGCACTGCAGACAGGTATGATCTCCTGCTCAGTCGTGCACCGACATTGCTCCCTTTCTGCATCCTAGTCTTGCCCCATACCTGCCCTTACCACTTCACTGAGTCACTGGGAGGACAGCCTGTAAGGAAATTTATTCTCTCTATGCTTCAGAGAATCCCTAAACCAGCCCTGCAAGAAACCAGCCAGAACTTCTACACATTTCATACCTAGACCCAGTCTAAATGTCACTGCAGAGCAAAGCAAGAGATTTATTTTGCTAGTCATAAGTAAACTGATAGCAAAATCGACTGAAGTAGGCCTGAAGGGGACAAGAAAAAAAGACTCCTTATTCAAAATGCTTTAAAATAATCTGTACATGATCTTAATCATGCTCGCACTACTTTAATAGCTTCAATTTAAACCACAGCACCATGCTAAATAAAATACATTCATAACAGCTCCAACACACAAGAGACAAGTAAATTTTAAATGAGCATCTATCATATTCACAAGGGATGGGTTCTGTAAAACCTATCAAATTTAAAGCTTAATTTGGGATACACTATATATCCCTTAGAAAGAGGAGCAAATCTTTCTAAAAACGAACAAGAATAAAAAGGTTCTTCCTCCTAATATAATTGAAAAGATTGCTATGAGTATAAAACATGTAAAACAAGACTTACGGCATCTGTAAGAGCCGTGAAACAGTTGGCATACCATTCTTCATAGCTTCACAGGTCAGAATGGATTCCAACACAGACACTACCAAAGAAAGAATAAGAAAGAACACATTTTTGCACAGCAGGATAGCAAATGATTTAGAATGAACGTCTGGCACTGCTGTGTGATGTTCCCCTAAGTATTGCATCAACTAAGCAGTGATGAAGCTCTGTGGCATGTGTTTTTTATTATAATGTTACTATTACACATACAAACTTTTCAAGAATGTTAGACATGAGGCAAGGGAATCCAGATATCTAATTACTTATTATTCACTGCTTTATCACTCAGTTAAAAAAAAAAAAAAATATATATATACTACATATATTTCAGGAAGAACACATTTTCTGTTTTTACAAATTACTAATTCTTTCCAGTCACAGGTTGCAAAGATCTTAGGCTGCTGTTTCACAGCATTTCAGCTTTGGTAAAAGGTAAGAGTATCCAGGAAGCTGAAACCGACATTTTCTTGACTGTATATACTAACCAACAAACACTGACGGCGCAGGAGGGAAGCTGTCTACTGGAATCGTATCTGGGGGTCTTCCATATGTCATTTCATACAGTAAGTGTCCAAAGCAATGTACATCAACACCTTCTAAAGTCTGTGGAGGAACAAAAAAAATAAAACCACAGCTTGCTAGAACTAACCAGTTTTTCACAACTGATTTGAAAACATGCAGTAACCCATTAAAGAAACAGAGTGGTCTTGCATTTGAAGATAGACAAGAGGAACCATTGAGACAGTTCCTAACCACAACCATTTCCCTCCATAACTTTAGCTCAAATTAAACCTTCACACCTCAAGCTAAAAAAGCTATTGCTGTCTTTCTGTACGTGATGATACAAATGGGATAGCAGCATAATCTGTTCTGTAAAAACATTACAAGTAGTAAACTCTCTTCATACAAAGCAGTTTAGAGAGCCACATGCTGATACAAATCACAACTAAGCACATTTTCCTAGCTAAGTCAAACAGCAAAGAATGAGATTCATAACATGACCAGCTGTCACTTTCCAGGAAGGTAGATAAAAAGACAGCAAAAATGCACGCCAAACAAACCTAGGAGAGTCTCATTCACTCCTCCTTAGGTCTGAACAAGCTGCACACACAAACTAAGATCCCAGACAGCATATTTTCAAGATTTTTGAATCATGTTTAAACAGAAATGTCTCCTCTTAATGGAGGAGGCTTAGAGCTTTGATGGCACTAACAGATTTGGACTAACCATGAACCTGTGATCGTTTCTCTGACAACATAGTAGAACTCGTTTAGCAAGGTCAGCAAGCAGCCGTCTCGTGACGCTGTACGGAATTTATCACAATGAGCACTTAAAGGCAGGGCAAGATGCTGGCTGAAAGACTATATTCTTCAACAGGGCAAATTTGTTTTCATATTCTTGTAGAAAGATAATATTTTGCTTTACAAGCCTGCAATTAAGAGACACCCTTCAAACAAATAAAAACCAGCTTTTAATAGCTATAGACATCTGCAAGCATCTAATCAATTTTCACAGTACCCTCCAAAGATAAGGCTGATTATTACTCCAAACTAAGACCAAGTAATATGCTGCACTCACTGTACAGACATACAAGTGGAAAAGTGTGGTAGGCAATACTCACACTCCTATGAAATACAAAACCATGGCAGAAAGAGATCTTAAAACAACTGCAGTTTGCCTCTATTTCTGTCAGCAATGCCATCACAAAAACATTCACCTGCATTCCCCTTCTACCTGCTTACTTTTGGCCTCAGCCTCACTCCAGTGTGCTGCAACAAAACTTCTGTGCAGCCAGACAGTGATTTGGAAGAAGCAGAAAAGGGATTTGATTGAGAAAAGACCAGATTAAAGAAAAGGGGTTGAGAGAGGTTTTTTTTCATTCTAGTCAGTGCTCCACAAACAGAAGGTGAGGATAAAGGGACACATAAGAGTCAGCTGAATTAATTCTCTGAAGCTTACATTAATTTTCCGAAACTGTGAAAAGTATGATCGATAAAATGATGGAAGTCCCAACAAGGAATTTTCTAGATCCAGTAATTTGCAGGTGTCCCCATCCAGCATCACATTGGCAGAGTGAAGATGGCCGTAAGGAAATCCTTTCTCATGCAAAAATTTTAATACCTGAAAAAAAGACAGGAGCACAGTTGCAAGATGCTCTGATGATCTCAAGATCTTAAATGCTCCAATACTAAAGCAGATACATAATAATGAGGCCCATATTTGGAATGCTTGCTCAACCTGATCTTCTGTCTACAACATCATCTTTGGCTGACTATTCATTTCCATTTCACTGGTGACATTTGTCACAAAACAAACGTTTGATGCTGACTCTCAAAGCAGGTTTATAGACACCTCCCAGAGAGATCTGGAAATTAAAATTCACAATTCTACTGAATAGTATTGTTTTAATAAAAATTTTTAAAAAATACTTTAATGACAATGAATTTATGGCACGTTGTGCAGCCTATGGATTACTTATTTCCCTGCTCCCATAAGGGAAAAACCTACATTATCACCTCTCTCCCACTTCAGCTCCACATGTACCAACTGCCTTTTATTTTTTGGTCAGAAATGGCCTCACACACACGTATCTAAATTCAACTCCCAGCAGCTAATCTCAGTTTACATTTAGCTTTCAAGTCTGCTGCCAAAATAAAGCTTGTGTGCACAAAACTTTGTCTCCTTTTTCTAGTTAAACCAGCTGTCCTCAAAAAAAAAAAAAAAAAAAAAAAAAAAGGCTGGCAAATAAAGCAAAAAGAAAAAATACCTCTAATATTTGCCTTCCATATGTTTTTATTTGCTGAAGTTCAAGGCCTTGAATTTTTTTAGGATTGCAATACTTCTTCAGGAACGGGTCTTTTGGCTTTGCCTTTAAAAGAAACGTACATATCAAGTATGATGCCCAGAAAAGCCAGTAATTGTCTTTAGTTTGCTTAGCAATAGATGGTAAACAGTTTTACAAAAGACATACTATTGTCACTGCAGCAAACGTTCTGCCATTTTGAGTTGGAGGCAGCAGGAGGGAGATGTTACCTTATAAATAAGGTCCTTTAGTGTCCCTTTTTCACTGAATGGTCGAATAACCAGCGCTGAAGATTCATTGGCAGTGGCAAAAGTGATTTTGTATATATAGGGATGCTACCAAAAGAAGAAACTGTAGGTAAGTTTTAGATGACAGATTCTGTAATTCATTTTTGCTCGATTCACAAGTAAGAAAAGATCTGTCTGAACTGTATGTTTAAAGTAATAAATTGGATTATGTCTGTGACATTTGCTCAAGTTATTCAGTCTTAACCTGGAATAAATGCAAAGAAAACCTCACAAGGACACTGTTCAATTTCCACATAAATAATTTTAAAAAACAAAAATCCACCATTTTTTTTTAACAGAACAGACTGGCAGTTTAGACAAATGAAGAATCCAGCCCCATTAATACTTACACGTGAGCAGCTTTACTGCAGGTTTAAGTCTTGCTAAGCTAATTAATTCATTCATGGTTTCATACAGTTATGGCACATAAGGAAACTCGGCATTATAGCTGTCGTAACAGTTTTACATCTTTAGAAATTATTATAAAGACTTTCTAAAACTCTGCGAAACCAAAGCACAGTTGGAAATAAATTACACATGCAACATACCCTTTAATAGAAATTGCAAGTTAGGAAAAGACCCCTTGTTCATGACCTATTTTAATACATCATTTACAGACCGGTTTGGGGGTTGACAGCCTAGTTTTCAGCCTCTTCTGTTGCGTGCATCTCCCAAGTTCCAAGACAGCACAGAGGTTTACCAGTTTAAATACCATCCTATTCAGCCAGTCTCTCACATGCTTAACATCATTAAAGAGAAACGCCTTTTTGAGTCAAATGCCAGTTTTTCAGGTTCAGATGCCTACTGGATTTAGAATGTGGCATTGCACAGGAGCTTAGATTGCACAGTCTCCATTATACCTCTACTAAGGTATTTCTGTCTTTGGTTCAAAGAATTGAAAAAATAACAACAGTCATTGCACTGCCTTTCCCACCACTGCCTGAGAATATCCTTAGCACAGGGGTTAGCAATTCCACCCAGACAGCACTATCCTAACTGCCTAAAAGTGTCAAAGGGCTGAAATAAAAGCTTGTGATCTCACACTACAGCACAAGAAAAAAAAATACAATTAACCACAACTCTGAACCTCCTGTAATAATCCTGCAGGTTTATTACTTGTGCTGAGAACATGTTACCTCATATTGTGTGGGAAATGTAATTAAAAGGTTTGCACATCTTTAAATGAAAGCAACTCTAAAATTCAAACTAGGACTACTAGGCTACATGTGCTTTTGCAAGATCACTCCTTGACAAGCACTTTTGTGCTGGCACAGTTTAAAAGTCTTCAAGTAATACTCACAGAACAGGAAGAAAGAAGTTTCACAGCATACTGTAAATCTTTGTCAGACAAGTATTTATCAGGGCCAAGATCAGCCTGGAAATAAATAGAAAAAGAATGGTATCATAATAGAAGTTGCATTCCATAAAGGAAATGTGATCTATATTCTGCACTCAAAAATTAAGACAACTGCTTGAGGGTATATTTTGAAGAGCAAGCAAGGAAATTACACATACAGAACGAATCTTGAAGAAGCTGGATAAGGCCATGGTTTCACAATACAAAGTGTCTGACAGTAAATAAGTATTATTGCCTCCTTCCTCCCCCATATCTGACATGCATTACTACCACTGAATGAACTCTGCCAACCCCAGTCTTGGGGATTGTGTGCACTGGGAACTGATAAGGCTTAAACCCCCACCTTCTTCCTCTCCAGCAAAAAAAAAAAACTTCCCTCCTACTCCAGGTTTGAGTGATATCTGCTCTCCAGTGAAGTCTCACAAACAGCTATACTGACACAACTAAGAGGGCAGCACATTTCAGCACAGGAATACAAGCAAGTGTTTACTAACAGCAAACTATTTGGTGTCAATACATGTCTACCTTAAAGGAGTAATTCCTGCCTCTCTCACCTATTATGGTCGGCAAAACTAAAGATCTGAGCAAGGAAGCTCACCACTTTAAAAAGGATCACCTTGTTATTTTAGTGTGCAAATTTATATTATGGTCAACAGCTACTTCATTACAACTGAAGAAACAGAGGTGTAGGAATGGGAACAAATGACCAGGCAGAGAAACTTGCAAACTGGATTTGCCACCAGAGGAAAGAAACAAGAAGTTCCCACACCACATAAACACCTAAGGGCTTTCAAGGCCCTTTTAAAGCCTGAGCTGTAAAGTCTATCTCTCTATCATTCACACATGGTAGTCAATATAAATGAAATAAGTCAGGTTCATTAAGAAAGACTTGAGTATGAGATGAAAGCATATATACCCAGCTTAACATTAGCCGTTCCTTTGGTTGATTCTTAATCTTCATTAAGAAATATTTCTTACGTATTCGCCAACCTACAAAAGAAGAGTCATCAACAGCTTTAATTAAAACACTACTATACTAAATCACATGGCTTACAAGCAGGACAAGGTCTGTAAGCAAAGGTAACATTGTAATCTTAGGACAATTTCAATGTATAGTTGAAGAAAAAAATCAGACAAGTTTTCATGCATATATAGTCTTCTTACCTATATCTTTTAATGGTTCTACCACTTCCCACTTTGGCTCTGATCGGAAGAACATTGAAACATGCTGTAAGGCAATTTTTGAAAAAAAAAAAAAAAGGAAAAAAAATGTTTTTAAGAGACTATTGAATGTGATTATCCACGTGTTAGGCAAGGTTCAATGCCAGAAGGAAGCCTGCAGGAATTCAGACTGAAAGTCAGCAAAATCACTTTAAAAGGAAATCAGATAAAAAACACAGTTAAAGAGTGTTTGCATTTTTAACCTGAGAACTCAAATCCACAGAGAAAACACTGCCTTCAAAAAACTTAGCTTACTGAGTTTGCATTCTGTCTGTACTAGATCTACACTTCAAAGTCCAAACCCAATGCTCACAGCAAAGATTTCCCACACTACATTAGATCACAAAATATTTCAGCTATACCTGTAAAAGTGGTAACTTTTGCATCTCTTTAATCATAGAATGGTTTGGGTTGGAAGGGACCTTTCAATGCCATCTAGTCCAGACCCCCTGCAGTGAGCAGGGACATCTTCAACCACATCAGGTTGCTCAGAGCCCCATCCAGCCTGACCTTGAATATTTCCAGGGATGGGACATCTACCACCTCTCTGGGCAACTTGTGCCAGTGTTTCACCATCTTCCTTGTAAAAATTTCTTCCTTGTATGTAGTCTAAATCTATCTTCTTTTTAGTTTAAAACAATTACCCCTTGTTCAATTGCTACAGGCTCTACTAAAAAGTTTGTCTCCATCCTTCTTATAAGCCCTCTTTAGGTATTGAAAGGCTGCAACAAGGTCTCCCCAGAGCCTTCTCCAGGCTGAACAGCCACAACTCTCTCAGCCTTCCCTCATAGCAGAGGTGCTCCAGCCCTCGTGTCTTTCTTCTGCTGAGGACCTACATGTAAACTAATCAGTTCTGTTTCACTATGTGTTATTCTGCCCTTTTCTGTGCAGGCAAACATATTTTGCTGGCTATCATGATCCAAAACACATTTCGGGGTGGGGGCAGGGGAGAGGTCACCCTTCTGGTTACTGAATTCTCCCACAGCTGGGAACACAACCGGCTTATTCATGGAGCAGTCTGAGGGGAAACCTCAGTGAGAAGTGGTGACAGCAGGGGGAGAAAGGGCATCATGCCAACAAGGAGTTTTCTCTAACATGGCTTATCTGGGCACAGAAACACAGCAAAAAGGGAAGGATACACTGATCTTTCTGCATTGTATCTTCTCTCTCCAAAAACAGGCTAGGCAAAAGCAACAGAACAATAAATACCCGCTCACTGCTCCAGTATTTAAGAAATGACAAACCGATGGTGTTTCCAAAGACCAAAGGCAATGGCTTGATTAGCAATCAACTTCCCAGCAACTTGCTGAAAAAACAACCTTGATGAAAGCACTCAAAATTAACACAGAAGTCACAGTGTCTCCTTGAGGATTTAAATTCCTTGCTCAGCATTAGCCAGACAAACTGCATCCTTAAAGAGTTACTAATAATTTACAACTCCTCCACAGCTCATCATAAACATCCGGGAAGTGTTTTTTGCACTTTGAAGCTGAAGACACAAGAATGTTACATAAAGAGAGAGCAAAAAGACAAGTGAAAAGGAAGCAGTAAGTTCCTGCTTCAGTAGGCTCTGCTTTTATGAAAACAAGCTTTGCATTTTGCAAAGAGTCAGTTTGCCCAGAAACTAAATCTGTGGATGGGGTTTCATCACTAAGAGGAAGTTTTTTTCAGTCTATAAGACACAAATAATTAACCATTTCTGATGCCTGAAGCTGAAGTCGGACAAATTCAAAGAAGAAACATTTAATAATGAAGAGAACTGATCACTGGGATATCATTCTAAGGGATGCAGTGATTTTCCTGTATTTGAGGAGCGGGGTGTGTGCCTTATTCAAGCCTTGAAAAAGTATTCAGCCTAGCTCAAACAATTAGTTCTAGGAAGTCTGACAATCCAAAGCGATACTGGGAACTAGACAAGATGACCACAATTGTGCCTGTGGATTTGAAAAAAACCTCAGAACCATGATGAATGCAAGATTTGGTGTTCAGAAGACCATCTGTTAGAACGCAGGGCTGATAAATTTACCTCCACCTTACACTCTGGCAGACAAATAATTTCCAAATACCAACCCTCCACATTTGTCACGAACTGTGAAAAAGTAGATATCGCTCTCACCAGTCCCCCTGCCTCAAGTTCTGCTTGTATAGATCTTTACCATCATCACTGCTCTGGAAAATAATTCTAATATTTAGATTTGATAATCGCAGCATGATTCATGCACAGAGCTGGAGAAACATTAGCATAAATAATTACATGTAGAGTATGATAATTCAGAAGGTTGTTCTCCCCTCCACCCGCCGTGCTTCACTGTCAGTCCTTGCCAGCACTCATGGACGATGCACACATATGCTAAAGTTAAACCGTAATGTGGATTTGCAGTTCCTCACTTACCAGTGTAGTTTACAGAATAGCTGTTTGGGTCCAAGAATTTTTTTACCAGTTCACAGTTAGACAGTATGTGATGGGTAGTAATTACATCAAGATAGGCTTGGAGTCCCTTCTGTCTTTCAGCTATGAATTCACGCTCCATATTTCCAATCAATTTTTTTGGAGGAAGAGGTAGACTTAGAGTTGATATCTTAAAAAGAGAAGAAAAATTAATAACCTTGCTCTTAAAATGCCTCAGGGATATAAACTAGCAACCCAGAAAATAGAAGACTCTCAGCAGCAAACTGGATAATTCTTTCTGTACTGTGTATATACAAGCTTTTATGTTTTGTTTTGGGTTTTTTTTAAGTATTGTTATCAGGGTGAGCTAGTCAGATGACTGCTCGCATCCCACTGTGAAGAGATTAGCAAGTGGAACAACATCGAAAATGCGAGGAGATAAATTTCTGCTAGTGAGTCATGCATTTTAGATCACTACACAAAACTTTCAGATACTAAATGCCTACAATTTTCAGCCAAATCCTTTCTATGACATACCTCCACCACAGAAGAAAAACAATTCACACATCACCATTTTCTCCAGATAAGATTTATGCTTTTTTATTTCATGAAGTGCATGTTAGTAACTTTCCTTTGCCTCTACTGCCTTTATAGGTAATTTCAAGCCCTAACTGTCAGTATTTTAAATCTGTAATTTCAAATATGGTGCAAGTTTTCCATTTTCTCTTCTGAATTTGCTGCAGTACAGTTTTTAAACAGCTATACCTCTTTCAACCCAGAAATAGCTGCAATCTACCAGTGGATGTGCACTAGTTGTTTTAAGTTGACATAAGTGATGCAAAACTTCAGAGAAAAATCAGATAAATACTTTGAAATAAGATGATTAAAAAATGTACAGAAATTCAAAGCCTTATGTAAGTCAGATCAAAGAGATCATCCTTAGAAAACAAAACTAGGTTGCACACAGTGTTTACATTCAATTATCTCATGTGAATTGCCAGGAAAAAAAAATAAATCATGTTTTTAACACATTGTTGTCCTGTAGATCAAAGCACCTGCCTTGGGTACGCTGAATCTCCGTGGGAGTTATCTTTAAGAAACGTGTACTGCAGGAATCAATTACACCAGATGCAATAACCTCATTTCTAAAGCAAACAGCTCACCAGGGAGAACACTGAGACTTTTGGTGTCTGAACAACTTCCATTTTAACTACAGGAAAAAGTGAAGGATTAGTTCAAACTGGGGCAGAAGTAGCAATCTCTTTCCTTTTTTTCCCCTCCTTCTTTTCAACACAGGAGTTGTCCCCCCCCTAATCTCAGCACTTCTACTTCTCCTGTTTCTCACTGCAAATCATGGGCTGGAAAAGAGCCGTAACTATGCAAAACCAAAAGCAACAATATACCACTTTAATTTGGCAAATTACTGGCTGTAACACTAGAGCCAAACAAAACTTTTCATTTGGCAAAACACTCTTACTTAAATTCAAAAATAAGTTTCTAAACAGAAGATAAATCCATTTCTGGTATTACTCACTTGAAAAGCATGTCAAATCATAGTCACCTTTACCTTCTTGACTTGAGAGCTAGCTAGCTACCATCAGAGAGAAAAGGACTCTAGTTCAGATGTTTTCAAACCACTATGATTTGTTTTAAAATTTATTTCAATAAACCACACATCTGCTATTTTCCAGAGGAAAGTAACATTCACCCCCAAGTTTTTTTAGCTATCTGCCAAAACATGCAGCACAGTGAGAACACTGTCTACCACAGAACACCTCACTGAGGTCCTGACCTTGAAAAGACCACGCTTGTTTTCAAATGCAAGCAGTACTTCTCAGTGGCCCCAGCTCAGCACTCGAGCCAGGATGGTCTTTGCCACAGAAGAACCTGGGAATTAACATTCTTATCTTCAAACCACAGCCCGCTCAGGAATGTCTGTTCAGAAGTTGCAATAAAATGCTTCACAAAAGCCAGATATCTTGCTGCAAATACTGTACCAGTACTGTACTGTAGCAGTTCACTTAAAACAGAAGAGCAACCAATGATCTCCACACATCTCTGTCAAATAAGTGAAGAGAAAACAATGCTGGATGGTCTGGAAGGAGCTTTTCAATCCAGTACACAACTTAAGAGCTCAGGGAATCTGGCTTGAAACTTTCTGAGGCAGACAAGGGTCACAGGGATACACCTCTCATTATTTCCAAGGTGTGTGGTAGGACTGCATCCCCTAGCCTAGACAGTTTGGAAATTCTCAATCCTTACTATTACTGCACAGATTAACAGTAGAAAAGTTGCATTCCAACTCAACTGCATCTGTGAGTTCAAACACAACCCCCCAAAGCTACACAGAGGTCAAGTATGCCACAAGAACTGCAAGAACCTGGGGCTTTACATCCAAAATAAGCTCCAGCATTTTTTCCAGCAACATTTTAGTTTTGAAGGAAGGAGATTGGGTTTTGGTATTTTCTTATTGCTCATTTATTTATGCTGGTTTGAGGGGGGTTGTTCGTTTAATTTCAATATACACAAGATGAGAGTTTAAAGAATTTAAAACCAAGTCAAGGGACCTGAATATTGTGATGAAATATTGTTGCTTAGAGCTATGGATGGAAAGAACTGAAGAGTGTTACATGTCTTAATGGATCAGAAAACTTCAGCTCCAGCATCACAAGGAGCAATTTATAAAAAAATTCAAAACAGTGGGAGAAAAGAGCAATTTTAACATGCTTCTCACCAGCTACCATCTGCTGTCTCTCAAGCCCTGGCATACAGAACAAGGCTGGAAGAGCAGTGGTGTTTATCAAAAGCAGAGTCTCCGATGAAGGGTTAAAACTCTCTTCCTGCCCCGATGCTGGGCACATAAGGAAGAATTGCACCTCTCAGGGAAGCCCTCTGTACCAGCCAGAAAAGGCTGTCTCCAAGCAGAGACACACCTTTGCCTTTCCAGACTGTGGAAAGTAGAAACAGGAGGTTGAACATCAAGGGCTGAGCAGTAATTTTCATTGAAGGAGACCAAGTGCTAATGAACACAGCCTGTTAATTTAGCCGCCCTCTGCACACCCATACTCTCCTATCCAAATGAGAGGTTATTTCTTGGTGATTCTGTTTGATCTTTTCTAGCCATCTAAGCAGCTCACATTTTTGACCTAGATCTTTGTATCTTATAGCTGCAAAATCTCTCTCTCACTTCAAATTCCTTCTTGTCCCACTCTGCAAGTTGCTGTCAAATAATTTCCTGAACCCTCCACTTTTATCATTCATCTCTATCTCATATAAAAAAGCCTCTTCTTTTCTGTATCATACCATACATAACCTATTTACCTTCACTTTCTAGACCTTCCACCTAGGCCTAACCTTTCAGTACCTGCCATTTCTATATTTAAAGTCTTAAAGGGTCATTGACTTTTCTACTAAAGCTGCCTCATTTGAAAGTTAAATGAGAAGGCAACAAAGCTTTTTCATGCCTTCACACATTCTATGGCCTACAGGTAAGAGAAGCTTGTTATAGGTGGCTTAAAAAGTGAACTCTTTCTTCTTTTTAAAACTTTCTCAAAATTCTCTCTCTGTGATCTCTATCAAAACTTGAGTATGATTAAGACTACAATGACCACAATGTACTGTGATGTTACTAGTACCATCTCATTTCCTGGTGTCCTCATGGGTGCTTATCTAATCTTAAATCTTGGATTTCTTTTGAGCAGGAGATACCTTTGTAATGCATTTATTCAGCATGTCACACAAGAGATTTCTAGCTCATGATGAAAGTTCCTCCATGCTAACGCACTTTCAATAAAATAATTCCACAACGCAACCACGTTGCAACTGTTGAATTGTGACTAATTTGCTTCCCCATCCACCTTCTAGCAGAGGAATCAGTTATAGCAGAGTATCACAGCGCACAATTCAACATCCTTACATGTTTTTGCTCGTTGAGGTTCATCGAGCAGATAGCTGATGTGATGGGGGAAGGGAGAGGAAGAGGATGCAGTAGTAACCTCTTGAATTCACACAACATTTAACAGGGGAAAAAAATTTCAAAGTCCCAAAAATCTATCCTCAAATCACAGAAGCGTTCACTTTTTATCTTGCTTCCACAGTACTGTGGAAATCTCGAGTAACAAATTTCACTCCTGTAGATGCCAGCGACTGCTGCTTCCCCCCTTTCCCAAATATACTCATACACCCTGCTTTTTCCCACACAAACTAAAAAGAAATAATTGTCCTAAAAAGCAATAGAAACCACACAGTAAGTCCAGTGTTTAACTAAGGAACACTTTCCAGTGATAGAGAAAACCATCACATGATAAGCAGCATCTGGTAGTGCTTTTAGACGAATATAAATAATGAGACACATAGCACTTCAATGCTGAATTTATAAGGTTGGTATGTGCCTTGGCTTTCTCCAAATCAAAGGAGGAACAAATAATAACACATAAAACCGGAACAAATCACAGTGCTGAAGGGAAAGATTCAGTATGTGCCAATTTCCTCCATTTCAATCTAAATTGGTCCTGTTGATGCTAAAATTAAAATTTCACAAAAGAAAACATGAGTGAAAAAAGTATACATTCGAATTACATTTGAAGTCACAGTTTCTCTTTACAGCTATGTGAATTTGTATTTTTTCTTCACTGCAAAATATAAAAATATCACAAGTCTTTTAAAATATATCCTTCTAAATTACATTTTATATTTACATATCAAGGGTGAAAGTTACCTGCAAGCTATTATTAAGCAAGTCAAAGTCACTGTATCGCCTCACAATCTGCAAAATATAAAGACAGAGTTCGGAAAACATATTACTTTTCCTATTAACATTTTATTCTTCAAAATCTCATCAGAGAAAAGTAATTTCCCATTTATAGTCATCATCTTCTTTCAAACATTTTTGCACAAACGCATAACTGCTGGATTTATGTCATGCTGATAGAGAGCAAAGAAGAGTTTTTAATCACATCTCAACCAGAATGAAAACACATTTCTAAACATTATCTTAAAATGGCTTTAAAAAAAAAAAAAAATTGCAACCAAAGTTGTCTGCAAACAAAGCTTTTTGGCCATATCAGATGCAACAACTTTTCAGAGTCATCTTCATTACTACTTCTAGGTTTCATTGGTCACGTATCAGCAACGCTGCGATTTTAGCATTACAGAAGGCAACTTGGCATTTGGTATTTAAAAATGATGGTCGTATCAACACACAGTAGTAAGGAATTTTTCCTGGAGTACTCACAATAGCAGCAGACAACATGCCTTCTGTAGCTGGCAGCAATACTGGTTTTCTCTTAGTTTTTAATCAAAACTGTTCCAGCACTTCACGTTCTCAATTCCAAACCAACATATCCCGCTCCAGCTCAAATTTAAAAAGCTAGGAAGAAACAATTTTCAAATTCTTCCTAAAAAGCCATCCTGGTTACATGAACTACAGCTTAAGAAATTACCTGCCAACTGTTTTCTGCTGAAACTCCTCTCTGAACACGGATTATGTATTCCTAATAAAAAGAAAAAGTTATTAGACATGAGAACTAATGAGTTTAAGAAAGTTAAGTACTTCTCCAAATACAACCACTATCCAATTCAGAAACATTCAGAAACAGAAAATTCAGATCCAGATTTTAAGTCATTAGGTGAAGGTCAGAGCTGGGTTTACTCAGCCCCATCACTACCAGCTGTCTCTCTGCATCACAGAGTAGAAGACAAAGAGAGGTCCAAAAGCTTCCAGACCTGTGAAGCACCTGAACAGTTTCATTTAGTTAAGGAAAAAGCCAGTAAGAGCATACTCACCACACATCTCTACTGACAACAGCTGAAGAAACCTCTCCTCGCCTCACCCCCAATATCTAACAAGTAGGTCCCAGGAATTACTGCCACCATCATAACAGAATAAAATGCCAGTGAATACCTGCAGCTGCCCAACCTCTCATTATTTCTGTACAAGAAGGCTACCACAAAAGCTTTGGGGTGTGCTTGAGTAACTAGAAGGTAGCAGTTTCTCATGATGATAACTCTTAATTTATAATGCATGCTTAATGTTAATTATTTATATATTAACTATGCAAATATATCTAAATCTCAGAGAACCACTTGTAAATTTTAAGAATTAACAATTCTCCCACCACAATTACATTCATAAAGCACAATTCTTTTCAGTCTCTTAATTTCAAGCTCCACTGTGCCTTTCGTAGACTAATATTTGGTCAATACAGCAATATCATTATTTGAGATTTATCCAATTATCTCAAGAATAAATACCAAGTATTTTATACACCTACTCAGACATACTTCAAGGAAACCATGATTTTGTTTACCCCTACTATGTTCAAGTTTGTAAGCAGCTCTAAAAACACTTATGACATTTCAAAGATCATAAACAAGGCAAGTCCTTTTCCTCGAAAGCCTATAATCTCCATTTAGATACAGATAATTAGCAAGGAAATAAAATTAATCTGGGCTAAATACAGTGACAGATACTTCCTTTACCATTTGCATAGACAAAGCTCTATAAATGCAGTTCTTTTTAAAGTCTTATTACACAGATAATCCCATGGCCACATAATTTACAATGAAAAACATGAAAATGAAGAACCAAAAAGTAAGATCCTGCCTGAGAGAACGCAACTCTCAACACTGAAGAGAGCTGGAGAGCACCCAGAGCCAAAAGAGGGGGAAAAAGCCACAGGTACCTATGCTTTTACACCTTCCTTCCAACTCTATCAGTCTGATGTAGTAGGAGAGTCCTACGTCCCCAGCACCTGTGAAGCACATTCATCTTCTCAGCTGTGCTTGGCCAGGGATGGCCGGACCCACCACCAGTGCTGAGGGTACCACTGAATCCCCCAGGCACAGCCACGCTGCACACCTGCAGCTACAAAATTCAAAGTGAGAACTAGAAATTCTAAACCAAAGACGAATTCAAGCCACGGTTCACAGATTTCTAAGCTGGAACATGTAAAAAACTCTGCATTTGTGCCAAGTGACGCGTGAGTACCCACCCAGTGACTGCCTGCAGTGCAGCAAGCATCACATGATAGATCGTTGGTTATTCGGCTCAGATGACTTCACTCACCCTGCTAAAAACTTTCAAACCTATTTTATGTCAAGTGCTGAATAATTTTTCAGTTGCAAATGCCACCTAATCTTGCTAAACTCACATCAATAGGAATCTGTCTTAAACAAAAAGGACAGACCACAGCATTATGCATATTTTTTTTTCCAGATATTAAAACTAATGCCACATTCCAAATTATCATGAACAGACAATGAAATAACAACAAATAAACAAAGACATTTCCTACACCTTGAATTTATATACCAAATTTGTCCATTCTGTAACAATAACTCTATCTGGGATGTGCCTGCATACCAACTAGATCATTCAATTAATTGAGTGTTTGATCCATGAAGTATCAGAAATTCAGCTTCACAGTTAAAAATCCACTAGAGACATTTATTAGTAATTTCTTTCAGGTACTGTGACGCATCTTCTGGTTTCAGCAGTTGCCTTCAGAACCACAAATAACTAATTGTCCTCTTTCAAATGAAATGAAATGAAATTAAAAGCTTCTATACTTAAAAATATAAATATACCATTGGATGCAAGCAAACAAAGCAGGGCACATCGGAGAATCCCTCTGTAGAATTAAATTCTCATTTAACATTTACCACCATGAAAACTAAGTAGTGTAAATCAAGAATTATGACTATTCCAGACAAGAAGCAAAGGCAGCACTTATCAGAGAGGATTACCTTGTGTGTTCAACCTTAACTAATCCAGAATTTATTTATTGAAGTTCATTTCCAAAGCACAATGCTGCTCAGGCAAAAATGCTATACCATTTTCTAAAATTCACTTAAAATATCCTTTATCATCAACAGCTATAATCATTGTGGCATTTTTTGAACCACCTAGCCTTGAGAACAAATTCAAGACCAGTAAGCATAAAACCTGAAGTTATTTAAAACACTTCCTGTCCTACCAGCTTAGTTGGAAATGACAGAAATCCAAGATGTCACAAACCAAAATACAGAACTACACACTGGAATTAAAGTGACCCTTTTCAAAAAGTCAGCCTCACGTGGTCTCTGCATATTCTCTTTTCTTAGCAATTTGAAATAATGATTAAGGTATTTTCCTGCAAAACAAGAAGCCCAAATTTTCTGAAATATTAAGAAAAATCCACAGAGCTGACTGCAGTCTAACCAGTGTAATTATGTTTGGAAACTGTGTGACAGGAACCAATTAAAGGGACACCTGGAAATCCAGATTCAGCACTAACTTGGCCTTTCCTGTTCTGTGATCATTGCTTCATTAAGGGAAGTAGGAAGAGGCTACTTCACACACAGTCAAAAAATTGCAGTAACTGCTTATTCAGCAAGTCTCAAAGGAACGTTGGCTGTTTCTCTGTAAAACCACGTCAGTGATGATTCACCACGTTCAGTCATTCATCTTTTCTAGGATTTTGAAAGAAGCAGAGTTATTGCTCAAGCCCTTGTAGCACTTACTCTTTATCCAGCAATTAACCTTTTCTATTGTACCCCAAGAAAACGCTCTCGGGCAGGCAGAACACAAACTCATTAGACAACCGTCAAAGCATCTGACTGCCTACAACATCTCTGATCAACACAACAGCTGTCTCTTCTGGAGAGCATAGTGATAACCTGGGACTCAGAGCTCATTCTCACACTAAGATTATATTACAAAACCAGATTTGGACCACACTATATTTTCCACGCAGACTCGAGTATTTTCCCACCCAGTTCTGCTCTGGCACCCTAAAGCAGTAATCGAGCCCCCTCTTTACTTCACAGATGCACAACTTGAAACGCAAGAGCACTGGTCTCCAGACATGGTAGTTAGTTCTGTCTGTATGGAAAAGTTAAGTCCCCACCACACTATCAGCACTGACCATAACGAAGAATTGGCCACCTCAGCACTGCCTTGTCAATACTACTAATGAAAAAGCCTAAATGGTCTTCTGGGGGGGTTTTTTGTGTTTTTTGGTTGGTTGGTTTTGGGTTTTTTCCCCTAAAGTTGATAATGAGATTGAAAGTCAAAGAATAGCTATAGCAGAAAAGCCATGATAAGAAACACCACCATTCCCAATATCTGCCATGGCTACACATAATCAGCAGATCACAACACGCCCATTTTCAGTGAGAAGTTGATACTTCCTATCGCCTCCGCACGGCAACAAGCTTTTCTTGGGATTATAATTAGCATCACTGATATATGCTTCCCATAGGACCAAAGAAGAGCTTTCAACTGTGCAAGCAAAAAGCCTAAATGCACAAAAGTCTTTATTACTCTGCCAAATCCTGTTTTGTTTAGAAAAAAAAAAAAATCTGAATTACAACAATTTTCTTCTGAGACAGCCTGATTTAATAGTGAGATTGAAACTGTGCCCATAGGAAATAAATGAAAGTGTAAGGAAAACAGGCACGCTCAGAACCATTTCTGTTTGGCTCCATCACCTAACACAGGAAAATATGAAGGAAAAGGCTTCAGAAACAGTTAGTAACTACCAGAGTTCACTCCTGCCGACAATTTTAGGGATCAACAGCCAAGCTCAGTGAGGTCTAGGTTAGCTCCACTTGCGTGTTAATTCCCATGGCGCTTCCTCTCCTACACCAACAGCTCAAAATCTTTCCTATGACTCAGTTTACCAAACAACTTCAAAGGAGCCCTAACAGCTGCTAGTTGGCAAAGAAAGGTCTCAGCTTGCTGAAGAGAGACAATCTCCCGCTGCTGATTTTGCCCATGGGCAGCAAGCTCACTGGCAGCAACTACACAACAACTCACTGGAGCCACCAACAAGACCGGCCATAAAACCATTCCCCAAGACAACCGCCCTGAGTCCCTCCAGACTCCCACACAGGTAAGGTTTGTACATCCACTGCTCTTCCCACCAATACTGCCAGGCCAGATCCTGCCACAGCCTTGATATTCCAGCAGCAGTTCAATATACGTTTTTAAAGATGCCAAGCAAAGTGGTTTTACCTACAGGATCATTTCCTGGCTGCTCCATTTAGTCAAGAAAACGGAAGCCGGTGCTGAGAAGAGGAGGTCGGGAGGA